ATATTCATGCCATTTTTATTCTCATGCCCTGATTTGCCTCTGAGATTATCGATATCTTCAACCCTATGACCATTGTACGAATAGTCATGCTCTAGCTGTCTTTTATTTCTTTTATTTGAATTTAAATACTGCGAATGTTGTATATAATTATTATATTTACAATTATTTACACTAGCTGAATTATCTATATTTGTTTTATCTTCATAGAAATAAGAAGAATGTGCCAACGTGTTGTAATTTGAAATTCTGTCTTTTAAGTCACTCAATTTGAAAACAATATTTTTAAACGCGGTAAAATCCATATCACGGCTTGACAACATATAATAATATTTGTCAATCATGGTGGAGGCGCCGTTGGTTCTTTTAAATATTTTTTTTTACACCACCATTCATGTGGTGGAAGCACCGGTTCTTTTAAAACTATTTAATGTTCTTTATTAAAATTTTAAATTAATATAGCCTTTAATTTTTTTAGCAACAATCAATGTATTTTTTAAATTTTTATATTATCTTTTGACCAGTAAATTGAACGCTTACTTTGATGATGATTTATACCCTTATTTACGTATATTTTAATATATTTACAAATTTTTCGACTTAAGCAATATGTCCTATTACAATTATTTCTATTTTTTTAACCTCTAATAACGATTAGATATTTTTCATCGTTGAACGAAATATTCCTTTTAATATTCATTCATACATAACTTTTCTCCGTGTATTTTTGACCAAAACGACAATGCTTGTATTTTTTATGTAATTGCTAAAATCACTATTTTTTTTTCGCTGAATCATAATAAATTTCGTAAAATATTTTAATTAAAAACTTAAAAAAAATTAATTTTATTTCCAAGTATTTACTGTTTTTATAAACAATTATGGACAATTATTATATTAAAATCAAAAACAGTAAAATGGAAAATCTATTAATTCAAACATTTTTATTATTTATTTTAGTTTATTGGAATAATTACTAAAATTTAAATAATTTTTTTTGAAATATCATACGCACAAATACATAATTATCTTCTTCTATTTTCAAATATAAGTTTTAGTTACTATTTTATTTACTGCAATTGTGTTATAAAAATATCTAAACAGTGCTTACATAGACAAAATTCCTATTTGTTTGGATTTGAAAAATAATATGTATTATATTTCATGTCGAATGTAGTGGGCGATAATTATTTACCCTAATTAAAAATTCTATATTTAATGTTAATAGAAATTAAAGATTAGTAAACCTATATTCATGATGTTTTTTAATAAAACACCTGTTCTGCCTGAGTTTATACAGCCACCTAATTTTGACCCTAGATTCGACTGTCCGGTGTCTTTCATTCAAAAATATGACAGAATAACCGATAAGAATGGTTGGAGCCACGCTTTTAAAATAAAATATTTAAATTGTTACCTGGAAAATGCTGCATTAGTTTGGTTTAAGAAATATGTTAACAACAAGGATAATTTTAATAAAAATTGGCAGGATTTAAAAACCGATTTTATTAGCAGTTTGGTGGTGAAAATCCATTCCGTAAACTAAAATCTAAATTTCGTACCCGTATAAAAGGTGAAAATGAAGATATAAAATATTACTACTATGATTTATTGTCGATTGCATACGAAATTGATAATGAAGTAAATTTTGATTTTTTTAGAGAACAATTTGAAAACGGTTTACATGAATCATATAATAAATATTATTATCTTTTAGTTACAGAAAATATGGATTTTGAAAGTTTAAAAAACATAGTTCACAAATTAAATGATTTAATAGAGATATTTTTAGAGTCTCAAATGTCAGCATATTCCCGGAATTATTATTATTGTCACAATTATATTCGAAATGAAAGACAGCCAGGACGAATCAGTTCAGATTTCAGGAATGGGTGTTCAGTCAATGATTCATATAATGGCAATTTTAATAAAAAAAAATTGATAACTTAAAAGGCAGAACAAGTTTAAGAAAAACTAATAATAGTTATGGCTCATATAAAAATCATGCAAGTCATTTAAAGTATACTAAATCAACAAAATCATCAAACAATAACGAAGAGAATAATAATAGCAAAAACAATATGGCATGCAATAAAATATGGTCAACAGGACGCTCTCCCATGTGAAACTCATACTGATCAGGTGGAAAATATATTAACCATGTCAGAAGAGGATTACATTGCTAATATAGACAATTATGCCGCTGTACTCGTGGGGGATGAATTGGAATCTCCCCTGAAAGATATA